GAAGACTGGGAGTTCAGGACATGGAAGAAGGAACTACAAGAGAAGCCTTTCGAAGGGTTGGGGGTCCACACCCTCACATCCTCCCTCCCAGAAAAGAAGGAGGCTCTAGACAACAAAACCACTAACTCAGAAACCTCTAACGATTCCCGATCAGTCAAGGAACAGGTGAGCCCCAAAGAAATGGACAAACCCTCACCTCTAGTACTCAATAAACTTTGGTCATAATAAATTTCAAATTATACAAGACCGAGTAGTTTCATTTACTTGCTGAGCATCTCATTTACTTGCTGAGCATCGCTCCTTTCAGCATGCAAATATATCATTATAGAAATGTAGTTCCAGCATAAAACATAATTTTTAGGAGATGTCAATCATTTGAATCCTTGCCAATTTATGAATTCGGCACCTCCAAGTAATGGATATTGGAGGTTAATGTTCTGCAAGACCTACGAGATTCATGTTAATTCTAAGGAAAATATATTTCCTCATGAAATAAACAACATGAAAAAAAAAATCTTAAGATAGGATGTCTATGGAATTGTAGCGTTGATAATCTGTATGAAATCAGAAAACAGTACGAATGGTTACACCTGAATTCAGAATTTTTTATGTAAAAAATTCATTTTCTTTATTACCTATTTGGTGGAGAAATCTATATTTTCCTATGAGAAAAAGGAAGTATGGTGTCAGCCTCCTAACGCAAAACAGAAACTGAATAACGAAATACTTGGCAGGAGAACCAAACTTTGAAGAAAGGAGACCCCCAATATCCATTGATCAGAAAATAAGATACAGAAGCTGCCTTTTACAGACCAACGATCATAATAACCATTTTCCAAGACCATTGACAGTCATGTACAGAAGGGTTTTACTTTTTCTGAAAAAGAATACCTGGGAACCAGAACCAATTGTTGGATCACTTCCCCTCAGGCCATCAACGAGCTCTGTATATATTTCTTCTTTAGGTGTAGCTGCCGGTGCACCATAGTAGGAGAACTCCACAACATCAACATCACACCATATACCTCCAGGACCCTGCCCCCATTGATCATTTTAGGGGAAAATAAAAAGAGATAAAAGAATGAAAGAAGCAGCCAGATATTAGAAAAGATATTCAAGCCAATTCATTTATGGGTCTCACACAAAATAATAAATATAGACATTTGAACGATCCTTCTATCATTCTCAGCACCAAAATAGATTTTCTGAAGCTAGTACTGAATAAGGTCAATGAACAACATCTAACAGGTAAAAACAATAACTAAAGATTATGAGTTTCCAACCTCAAGTGCAGCAGGTAGACATTGAACATCATTGAGCCACTGCCTGTGAACTTTGCGTGCAACAAAGACAATAATAGCAGGAATATCTGTCAACATACCCTTCTGAATTCGAAATCCTATTGCAGTACCAAGGCTAAAACGACGCAAGATCTTGCTATGAAATGCCCTTATGGTCATAAGTTCAAGTAAAGTAGTAGCTCGCTGCCCAGAGGGCAGCCGACCCAAAATTTCAGGAAGCACTCCTTTCTGAAGGTTTCCAAAATAGTTTGCTCTATCTTCTGCAGCATCGTTTAAACGGCTGGAAGTGGGCCATGAAAAGTAAGCAGCGTTGGTCTCAGACAGCTGACTACCTGGAGCAAAGCATTGACTAGGTGATGGACTTGATGAAGGCAGATTAAGATGACTGCAATAGTTCCTTTCCAAGTCCAAGGCAGATTCCTCTGATTGTGTTGATACTGAGTGATGAAAACTTAAATCCAGTCTTGTCCTTTCCATCTTTCAGCTCTCCAATGACTATGAGAGAAGAATTGAAGGCCTCTTAGAAATTGAAATCCATTCTAACAAATCCCTCTAAAGTTGTTTACTTACTAAACTACACCAAAATGATTTTTCCAATTTTTTTTCTTTTTGTGGGGAGATGGGGGGAGAGAGAGAGAAGATTTCTGCTCTATTTAAGATTGAAGGGGTCTGAGAAGATGATGCCATTGCAAACGCATAAATTCAACTATCATAACAGTACATAGGGAGAGGGGAAATAGTCCAAAAACTAAGCCACGTGCATATATCCAAGCAAATGTAAGCTCTCGATTCAACGAAATGTGGACAGGGAAAGTGCAGACTGTTACATAATTACATTTGAGAATTGAAGGGAAACACGAATATTTCAGAAAGAAGAAAATACGACAAGCCCAAAATTTCCTAACTTTCACAATTCATGCTTCTAATAAAACCAGTTGTGAAAGATGAGAAAAGACATTGGTTATACGTGTGCGACTTTATCGAGTCAAATGTTGCTGAAACATTTCAGTAGTGTGACTTATGTCACAAACCTATAGCATCTTCAACGTTTCGTTACTTGAGGGCTTTGGAGTATTAATTAGAAGTGACCTGGAAGACAACAACAACAACAAAAAAGTGAAACTTGGAGAGAAGAATGCCAATGGACAATGTAACTGAGCCAAATGCAGGAGAGAGCAAGGGGCATGGTGAATGAAAGAAATAACGCAGTACCATTTCACAAAGCGAAAGATGCAAGATAAGCGCAGGCTCCAAACAGTTTAAAGCCCAAGATGTCACTACCCAGAAGGCAAAATATGCATCAAATTCACGGCTGCACATCTCAGGTAAATACATATGCGGGAATTGGGAAAATAAAATCTTTTTGGAAAAAGTGAATAAAATAAAAATAAACTCACCGATCAGCAAACGGAGAGCTCCGATGGAGGACGAGGCTCGATGGTTTTCATGCCCTAGCACAGATTTCCCACCTTACCCATCATTCCTTTCGAGATTACTATGCAGAATCACTTGATCAAAAGAAAAAAGCCACTTAAATCTGCAAGTAGAGGTTCAAGAAAATATAGGACTACGGTGGATACCATTCCGAAACGAGAGAGCCAAAATTCAGAAAATAAAATATATATTGAAAGAGAAATAAGGGGGAGAGAGAGAGAGAGAGAGAGAGAGAGTAACAGCAAGTATCTTTTTTTTAGTTTTATAATAACACAATAAAAAGTAGAGAGTAAACTATTTACCCTTTTTCCTTTGTTTCTGGGTTGTTTATCATATTGTTGCATTTCTTTTATTTTCTTTGTTTGTGATATATATGGATCGTCACATCACATCCTTTCGTTGGTGGAAGGCTTCAATGGATGGGAGAGATGAGAAGAACACAGAGAAGGGAAGGAAAGAGGAAATAATTTGTTGGATCCTCCATTCATATTTAGTTTGGTGGAGGAGGAATAGCCAATAGGGCCCATTTGTATCTGCTCCCCAAAAGTAGCACACCCTTAAAACCATTTATTATTTTATTTCCACCATGCCCCATTTAGCTGGGTGCTCACTGCTCTGTAAAAAAAACATCTTTTTTCTCTTTAGCCATTCCATTTCCTCCAAATATATTCCTTTCAACTGTTATTCTGCAACACCACTTCTTTTTAGGGGCTGTTTTCTATAGCCCCTTTGCTTTGAATTGTTGTGGAATAATCAGAAGTAGTAAAAGAGACACCATCCCAATGTCTCTTTTCAATTATATGCCAATCTTATTCGTTTGTATTGTGGCAGAAATACTAATTTTATTTTTTAAATCATGATTCTCTCTTTCTTTTCTATTTATTTTTATTACATTTTCACAAATACTATAAACTAGTTCGTTAGTTTATTAATTGTCACACGTGAATTTAATGTGTCTTTAAATTGTTCCTTTTATTATTTTTATGACCTTCCATCTATTTATTCCAATACAAAATGTAATTGTCAAAGTGATCATAACTCAGTAGAATTGACGTATACCTGCAACCATGCAGTTGTGGGTTTGATTCTCGATATCAAACTTGTAACTTCTCGATTGGAGATACATCTCAATTATCGCTCAATTAGGTTGGTTTGGACGACATTATTTTATAACCCATAAACATTAATTTGAATATTACTCTAATTCAAGAAAACAGTTTGATAAAACTTGCAATTAGTACCACACACACAGATATACGATTAGTGGTCTCTCTCTCTTGCTATCCCATCACATATTATCTCTTGCATTATCTTCACTTTTTGTCATTCATATTATCTTTCAATTATGAAATAATTGTCATCCCAAAATTGATGGATGTGTGGCGTGTACACTAAATAATGGTGGTCTCTCACACGTGTCGAGCTGTCGATGCGTTTGATGAAGCATCGACCATTGATATCAACCGTTCAAAATCTGGTGCTCTCTCCCAAGTCCCATTATAAAGTTGCAACATATATATTTGATGCATCAACTATTAATATCAACCGTTGAAAACAACGGATGCTATATCTGTGCCTATGATGTGATTTATATTGCTCCAAAAGATGGATGAGAGAGAAAAAGTTTTTCCACACTGCAATTATTAGATGGATGTGTGG